TCTTTCTCTTGGTCCTGGATTCTCTGATGGATCTGTTGTCGATACTTCTGGAGCTCCTTCTGCTTCTCAGCTCTTTCTGCTTCTGCAGAGACGGTTTCATATCCATCCATCAACATCTTCATCACCTCATCATGACAAGAGCAGATGCTCTCCATGAGAGTTTTAGTGGGATTCACCAGCTTGTGCTTTTGAAAAGCAGGAGATTCATAATGAGGCTGAAGATGATTCTCACAGTAAGAAATCAAACAGACCAGACAGGTTTTGACAGCTTTCATCTTCTTCCCAGTGCAGACGTCACAGGCCACATCTTCAGGTCCAGCATAGCAGTGATCAGCTGGAGCATCTTGGAGTCCAGTCTTCTTCAGATCCTCCACTAAAGCAGCTAACATGACGTTTTTCTCCAGTTCAGGCCTCGGTTTGAACTCCTTCCTGCACTGAGGGCAGCTGGGGATCCTCCTCTGATCTTCTCCATCCCAGTGATCTTTAATACAGTTCATGCAGTAGCTGTGTCCACAGGGAATAGTCACCGGATCCTTCAGTAGATCCAAACAGATCGAACAGGAGAAGTTTTCTTCGTCTAGTCGAATTCCTCCCTGCGCCATTTCAGCTCTCAGTAACAACTGCGTAGTTTCTTCCTCTGTAGAACAGCAGCTCTGAGCTCTGATCTAAACATCATGTGTTGCTGCAGTGAATGAGGCCTGGAAGCTGTTAGCCTGAGCAGGAAACGTCCAGATCTGAAGAGGAGGGAGCAGAGACGTGTTGGCAGGATGCAGCCTAGGAGGAGTTATCAGGCCTCCGTTTCCAGGAAGAGCTTGGAGGCGTGTCTTCCACTGGGGTCTCAGCCTGCCCGTTTTCCAAAGTTTCTATGTGGAGAATTACAGAGAGCAGCAACAGAAACTAGAGAACGGTTTGTTTATGAAACAGAGAGGAGGTTTAATATTGTTTAATTTCATTCAAGGAAATAAAAGAATAAGGTTTTGGACTTGAATCATTTAGACTTATGAATGTGAGTCCAATTACTTTTTTACACAGTTCCAGATTGGTTTGAACAGCTTTTCTCCCAAAATGAATCATCTGAAAACTATAAGAGTGACAGAGAAGCAGAAACTGAAGACCACAGTATTCAGACTGCTTGGTTGAATTATGTTTTCCCTAAAGTATTAACCTAAACCCCGGAGCTAACATAGCAGCGTTTAACTACTGTCTGCACATGTAGAGTTTTACTGATGCATAATGTCCATAAAAGGTCAATTTTAAATGACACAAAGTGAAAGTTTCCATCTGTATCATATGAAAGCAGCTGGATATCAGGTCCACAGACATTAGGAGGCTTTAAAAAAATATTTGTCAATCACAAACAGACGAGCTCTGCTATGTTAGTTTGCTCTCATCATGGTTCCTGATCCGTATGGAGCGGACTCTGTTGGGTTTCTGTGGTTTCCTGCCTGACATAAACACTGAACTTTATATTTTTATTCTTCTGTCTGTAAGTTTAAAATAATCCTGTAGCTGAAGAAGAGCAGATGATGTTTAATCAGAAGGAAATTTCTCTTTTCTGGACACTGACGCATCCTGGTCTATGTAGGTTTAAGCTGCAGTACCGAAACGTGGCCACTAGATGTCACTGTCCATCTCTGACTCAGGACTCAAAGCTTTGACTGATCGATTGTAAACTATTGATGATGAACTTTCTGACACATCAGCGCTTTTCTCATCATCTGTCTTCAGCCATGTTGGAGGATTTAAGAGCAGGAAACAGACTGAAACAGTTTCATCTTTATGAAGTCTTTCATCTCCACAAATGTAACCTTATTTTATTTGTAAATCTTTGAATTTTGTAGATATTTACGTTGAAGTATATCAATCTTCCAGAGATGGAAATCAGATGATTTCTTTCCTCAATCGGCTCTGATTGATTATTGACAGGCTGATTCTGTAATTAATGCACAAATCATAATGAGATTCTAGAAAAGCAGAAAAATTAGCAGGAAAAATCTTGAAAAAGAGTTAAAATTTGATTGTATGCCTGATGGAAAGAATTTGTTTTAGTTTTCATCATATTTAAAATCTGATGAAACACCAAAAACAGGGAATAAATAATAAAATTCATGTTTTGTAACATTTTTGTAAACTTTTTAGAAAATGTTATAAAACATGATCAACTAACTGATTGTAATAATTGATCAAAAGGAGACATTTTTTTTCTAGGGAGTTTTTATAACATTTTTGTTTCATTTTTATGAACAAAATATTTACCACCAGTGAACATTCATTCACAGGTGGATGGAACAAATCATCTAAAAACATTCTTCATAACACTAAAGTCAGCTTTTGTTATTTAGTGTCAAAACTCTTATTACCTGTGAAATATTTCAAAAATGCATTTCTTGTAATTTTTATGACAATTACTGACCAATAATAGGAAATCAGATTTCAGTGCCTCAGATAGTTAAACATTGTGAAAACATTAAATATTGGGAATAAATGTCATGATTTAATTTGCTGCAAGCAGAAAATCATCATAATTACCTGAAATAAAGACTTGAAAACATCAGTTTGTCATTAATATAACATTAATATAAGTAACATGTTTCATTGACATTAACTAACTTTACTGAATACAACTGTATATTTATAAGGAAATATTTTTAAAAATCCCTTTTTTAATCTGCCATCAAATTTTATGTAAATGTGAAATACTTTTAAACTGAAAGAAAAGTGGAATGGAAGTCATTATCCTTGTTTGTACGCAAAAACCTGTCCAATAAAGCAGATTATACATATTTACATACATCTTACTAATATGATGATGATTATTATTATTATTATTATTATTATGTTATTGCTGTGTTATTACGTAACAGGAAGTGGAGAAGCGCGGTTTGAACCAGGAATCTCTGAGTCTGCGCTCAAACATGAAGATTTAAAAGGTGATAAAATAGAAACATAAAGATGGAAACACAGACGAGACTGAATGCATGACGGCTTCTTTGCCAGATGGAGCGATTAACTGTCAGGTGATTCAAACAAAAGATTTATTCACAACCAGGAAGGAGTTTCTTCTCTAATCTTGTTCCTGGAGCAAATGACTGGAGTTATTGTGGAAAATCTTTCAAAATCTTCCCAAAAGTTTCCTTGTTTTGTACAAGTCAGTTTAGTTTGAGATCAATGAGGAAATACCCAAGTTAAAACCAGTTAGGAATCTACAAAAGCTTTTGTTGGTTATTAATTACATTTACGAGCTGTAAACAAAAAGTCAGTGCCAGTAAATCCTCTGATCCACTTGTTTGATTATTAACACCAAAAGAATGTTGATCTCTTTGAAGGTCTAGTAAAAGTCGAGATTGTTTACTACTTTGAATCCGTTAAGGAAACACCTTCAGTTATTTATAGCTCGTCACGCTAAACTTAGATTATAGGTCATTTCCCTCACCAGGTTACTTTTATTTATAAATCTTATATTCACACAGAGAAACGAGACCTTTAGAGCTTTACTGCTTCAGGAAACAATGAACAGAAACAACATGATATCATTAAGTATCATAGTGGGAGGACCAATGAAAAAATGAGTTTAATAAAAAATGAGTTACAGGAAAATAAGAATTAATGCCGATGGAAAAGGAAGTAAAATACAGGATGGAGATAAACAAAGTGCAACAGGAACAGGAGGGAGATTAGAGAGCAGCACAGGAACCAGAGGGGCTAATCAGAGGTAAGTAGACGCAGCTGGAGGAAGAAGGAAACAAAGCTGAGAAAACTAAAACTAATATGATCCATAAAAAGAAACAAACTGATCCAAGGAAACGAGTCCAAAGAATAAACCATGAGAATAAATGAAGAACCACAGGAATAAACTAAAAATGGCAGGAAGTGAGAAACAATAAAGCAGCAATGAAAACAGAAACAAATGAAAAACAAAGTTATAACATCTCAGGATCGCAGCACATTTATCCTGTCAAACACGCTTAGTGGATTTATTGAACATTTTGGATCCATTCATTCATTCATTCATTCA